AGCCCTTTTGATTCTCTCCTCACCCACCGTCTTCGTCTGCAGGTGCAGCTTGCTCGACAGCCGCTCACTCAACGCGTCGGTGGCCATATTTTCTCTCAAAACGTTTATAAAAACAAACACGCGTGCATCCACTGCCTGCGGCGAAGTTTACACGAAAATGCGAACTTGCAGAAACAAAACTTTCGCGCGCCTCTTTATACGGCGCTGTGCAACGATCGTGATTGGAACTGACTTGTGATTATAGTTGATGACGTCAAGACGTCAAGATAAATTTACGCGAACAATCGCAAGAAATCAGTTATAATTATTTTTAATTAAAAATATTTAAATTAAGCGGTTGTTTGCCAGTTCATTTGAACTGTCCTTTTAATTTCGGACTGTATACAGCTCGATTTTTTAATCAAAGGATTAAGTTTAATTAAGGTGTGAAATAAATCGCGAGGAAGGACAGAGAAAACTGTAACCCAGTGTGCCAAATAATCGAACGTAGAGAATCAAGCGTGCGATTGGGCCGAGGTCTTACGAATCACTGAAGGCAGACAGCTCTTTGGTTCTCGCTGGAGTCACCGTTGCGAGCAGGCGCAACGTGTGTACCGTGTGATAACTTGGCCGTTATATAGCCAACGAGAGAGGCCTTTTACCACCGCTTGATGTTCGCGGATTATATCTGGACACACGCCTCCAGATTTTAACCGTAGATGCGTGCTGATCAAAGACGTATTGTAGGGATCCTCAGTTCTAGCCAACTCATTTTCCAGGAAAAATTTACATGCAAGTCCGAATTATACTGATTTAAGTAGCACGAAATAATCCATGTGATATTTTTATGATGAACTGAAACCCGAAAAACTATGAAATATATGACAGATTCATTGTTGAACAGATTTATCTCCCAATAAATTTGCAATTAATGCTGTATCACACGGATTTCCTTTTCGATTAGGATATTTCTATCGCAGTCACGTTATGAGATTTTCAAGGATTTTGCATATCGTGACCTTCGATCATCAATAGAATTTGAATTGGAATTATATCCATCTAAAACGACATAATTCCACATGCAGAATTGTGCAGAATCCCAACTGTAATTTTAACAATCTTTTGTTCAATTTAAAATCAATTTTTTACAATATGTTAATACAACTCTAATAACTTTGAAGTTAATGGAAATTAAAGACAAAAATACTTTAGCGAATTAAACTTTTGATGTCAAAAATATTGTGACAAATAATTAAATTATTACGGAAAAACAGATTCAGTTTCTTAAAT